TAAAATTTACACACCTTTCCCCTCTCACATTTATATATATATATATATATATATATATATATATATATATATATATATATCATACTTATTATAAAAAACCCAGGTTGTGTGTGTGTGTGTGTGTGTGTGTCGTTTATATATTGGATCGGATTTCCTATATTTTTCAACCGATTTCAACAAAACTTCACAGGACTACATAAAATTACCTTTTTGGTGGTTCTGACAGTGCCAAAAATTGGAAAAACACAATTGTTTTTGCACGAAATCAATTTGAAAACACGATTGAGAGGCATCGCTGTTGAGAATGAAAGGGGGACAACTCATATCGAGTTATACTTATAAAACCCAGGTTGTTTGTGAGTGTGTGTCTGTGTTCGTTTATATATGTGATCGAATTTCCTACATTTTTCAACCGATTTCAACAAAACTTTTTTTGGCAGGTAGTGTTTCTTATTGTCTTGCACACTTTTTTCTTTATTTTTACATTCAAAATGCTTTAAAAATTCCATTTACAAGACAATTGTTTATAATAAAATTCTATTCAATCGGTAGACTCGTAACAATTGAAAACAATGCTTTTGTTTGAGTTTGGGTTTGACCAATTCGTAAAAAAAAACAAAAAAAACTAATTAAGACATGCATGTCCGTCAACCTTAAACAATAATCTTTGTCAATTTTATTTTTCAGTCTTTATGATGGTGGATACTTGATCTATCTCTTACTGTTATATCCCCGGGCAACGCCGGGCTCTACTGCTAGTATATATATATACACCATTTGTCCATGTATTGAAAATTGCTGCAACATCTGGTCTGGTTCTTCTTTCTGCTATGTATTTAAAGATTCTTGATAAACTACAAAGAAGAATCTGCAATGTTATTGTTCCTGACCTAGTATCTTGCCTGGAGCCACTTTTCCACCTGGAATGTAGGTCCTCTGTGCCTTTTCTATATTGGCATGGTAATTGTTCTCAGGACCTTTGCTCTTTGATACTTAGACTCTGATGAATGGTAGCAAGGTCTCATCATTTTACTGTTGAAATGTTTAGATGTAACTGTAAATTCTATGCTAATAGTTTCTTCTCACCACACTTCTTGCTTGCGGAACTCTCTTCCAATCAACTTTGATCTTCAAAAATTTAAATACATTGTCAATTGTTATCTTCTGTCTTCTTAATATCCTGTTCTTTTATTGACCTTTCTTCTTAATGTCTTTTTCTTATATTCTCAGCAACCCTTTTGTATTTTAGTATCTTTACTATCTTGTTTAAGGTGAAATGATTATATATATATATATATATATATATATATATATATATATATATATGTAATAGAAGTTACAGCTACATTTAACTAGCTCAACTGTAAATTGATGAGATCTCACTGCCAGTCTATTGCACTTAAATTCATACAGTCTAGGTGCCATAGCAAAGAGCTCATCCAAACAATTACCATGAAATTATTTATAAAAAAGGCACAGAGAGGCAACCTTATGGTAGTGGGCAAGTGGCTGAAGTTGAGCCGCCAGATCAGGACCAATAGTATTGCTGATTCTTCTTTGGATTTTATTAAGGAGCTTCAGATAAACAACAGGTGCACCAGACCATATATGGCAGTAATATTCTAAGCATGGATTATAGATATGCAAGACAGATTCTGGAGAGAAAAATTGTCTTGCCCAGCACCGTGAACAAATTTTCTTAGTAGCTGACCCAGTAATGGATTCAATATAGTCTTTCAACTTTATGTCAGCTGAGAACATTAGCTTGAGAAGGAATAACAAGGCACTTTCCTGATGGAATGCAGAGAGGGATCTCTCAAATGATTAATGGAGAGAAGTTTAGTTTTGGAGCCGTTTTAAAATTAACAAGCTATTTTCCCCAATTAACAATGATATTGAAATGTTAAAATTTCTGTTTGAATTTATAGCATGTGGAGTATCATTATTTAAATTCAGACCATTGATGAGGATATTAGTCTGAATGTAAATGATGTAAATAAGTAATATTAAAAATAATATAATAAATGAGTCATAAATTCTACTTTTTGTGTTGGTCATTAGTTTAAATGTGTTATATTAATCCAAAGGAAAATATTTTAATATTTTTGGTGAGAATGAAAAACTAAAAATGTCATTATTATTATTATTATTTTTTTTTATTATTTTATTATTTGATGTTCAATTAATATTCTAATGAATAACAGTAGACTTAGCAATTGATTCAATAAGCAATTCTAGAATTCTGTTTTGTTCAAATTTGATGTTTCCTTTAATTTTAATTGTGATTTAGTATTATATTTAATCTTTTATCTTTTAAACTCTCTTTTTCAGAATCTGAAACAATTTTGTTTCTCCATAAATCTAGAACCCATAAGGAAGTTTGCTGCTCTTGTGTTATTTCACAATGATATTTTGTATTTGATTCACTGAAAAATATAATTCTAAAAAGACAACTTTTTATGCATTTAACAAAAATGCACTTTTTTTTCTCTCTAATCATTTCACCCCAAGCAAGGTAACACTAAGTGTGAAAGAATATAGGAAAAACATTATTAAGGAGTGAGAACAATAAAAGAACAGGAATTAAGAAAACAAAAGATAATGGTTGACATTGCATTTAAATTTTTGAAGATCACACTTGATTGGACAGCAAGTAGCCAGAAGAGAGTTTCATAAGTGAGAAGTGCAAGAAAAGAAACTGTTAGTATAGAACTTATGGTTACATAGAGCCATCTCAACTGCAAAATGATGAGACCTTGCTGCCAATCTAGTACTGCACTTAAATTCATACAGAAAATTCATAGAGGAAAGTTCATCAGAACATTTACCATGAAAGTATTTATAGACAAGGTACTGGGAAGTTACATTATGGTGGTGTGAAAGTAAAGGAATCCCAGATAATAGGTTCAGTGACATTGTTGATTCATCTTTGGATATTATCAAGAATCTTTAAATATATAGCAGGAGCACTAAACCAGATGTGACAGCAATATTCAAAGCAAGGATGAATGGTAGACTTATAAATATGTAAGATAGATTTGAGCAAGAAAAATTATCTAGCACAACATAGTGAACAAACTTTCCTAACAGTAGACTTAGCAATTGATTCAATAAGCAATTACATTCTTTAGGAGAAAAAGGTAATTCAGCAAAAAGGAGATAAAGGTAATTCTATAACAAACTGCTTAAATATTGTTTTTTATGATGGATCCAATGATTTATTTGAATTCATTTCCTCGTAAGAAGAATGACCATCACATTTCCTTAGTTTGAGACAATTCCCAGAAGATAATTATGAAATGCAAATGTGTACAATATAAAAAATATACAATTTCAAATTGCTAGAAAAGATTTATATCCTTGACTTAAATGTATTCTGGCAATATCACTTGACAGGATGCTGTTATCTATTAGAGAAATTACCTTTGAGAGAATATCACAAAATATGTGTCTTGACATCTAAATAAATCTGTAGTGATTTTCAATAACTTAAAAGCCAGTGTAAAATGTTATATCATTTACATTGTCATTACATTTATTTTTATTTCATGTGGATTCTTTTTATTTTCTTATAAGAATATAAAATTTTCATTTTTCTTTTTGTGAAGATGTGATCTTTTATACTTGCTTTTTAATATCTGAATATGAGTTGAATAATTATGTAATAAACTTATTGAATCTCTTATGCAGTCATAAAAACTGAATCTACTTTGGTGACTAACTATAAAATACATTTTCCTCTTAATCTTATAGATTTAATTAGATTGTAATAAGGATCATATATCTATTGATAATGCTGATTAAAAGCCTCAGTTGATTTGATTCTTACTATTTATTATTGATATAATTAATGAAAAATAAAACATTCTATCAGAAAAAATTAATTAAAGAAGATTTCTTACTTGCAGGATTTTACATAAAAGTGAGCAATGAATATTTGAATATGAGTTGAATAATTATGTAATGAAAGTTATGTAGTGGAAAGGATAAAATTATTATTTTAAAACATTAAACCTATTAAAAGATACAGAGGTATCTATTCAATTTTGAAAGTTAACACAAAATAGTCATTGACACAAATAGTTCAACATAGATCAAATTTGAAATGAAAGAACACTGAAAAATTCTGTGACAAATGAAAAAAACTATTCATGTAGCAAAAATTATTCATTTAGAAAAATAGAAAACTATTAAATACTTAAGAAATTCTTTAATGAGTTAATTGAAGAAAATACTTACATTTGAAGAGCTTATATGGAAGTTAATTATTTAATGCTAGATATGCAAAGGAAATACTAAAATGAATGAATTTCAGTGAAGATTTATTACGAAAATTAATATAGAAGTTACAAATGAAAAGTATGCAAAAAATGACAAGAATTAAAATTGACATAATAAGCTTAATACTACATGTAAAATTAGTTTTATATTAATTTACAAGTCAAGAAAATATGCAAAACTGGGGATACATTTAATTTTCCTTATGAAAAAAGGTCCAATAAAATTAAAAATGAAAATAATCTAATGTTATTGTTATGCTATTGAATTCTTTCATTTGGTAAATATTAATGAATATTTAAAGATTTAATTGAAGTAACTTATTAAATGTATAATGATAATAAGATTATTTCACATAAGATTGTCAACTTTTTTATTTAAGCAAATAATTGTACAAATTGAAACTTCCTTTGAATACTTAATAATAAACTTGTTTAAAAGTAAAGTGGTTAAAATTATATTAAATTATCTGATAATCAATTTTTATATTCAGTTTTATACTGAAATTTTAAAGATATTTTTAGTTTGTCTAATGATCAACTTTTATTACATATTTTCTATTAATCAAATTTTTCTTCCTGATGTTCAGTGGGAACTGTAACTTAAAATACATGTATTAATTCTGTTTCTACTAAAATATAATCAAGCAATTAAGAAGCTTTGTTGGTGTTCTTTTCAGAAAAAGTAAGAAAATGTAAACAGTTATTGATGTCACAACGTACCTATTGGTAATGGTTTTGTAAATATATACATTTTTTTCTACTCGTTCTGGAATAATCTTGTTATCATAGAATATTTCTGCTCTTTCTTTGTTCAGCTTTTTTCCTTCATCATGGGGTAGGCTGTAAGTGTAACCATGTTCAAGAAGAGATAGTAAGGTGAAAAATCCAGTTAGGGTGAGAGCGTAGTCTGTTTTGCTTAGTGTTTCCATCATCATCCTAAAATTAGAAATAACAACAAAAACAACAAAATCAACAAGATCATCAACAACAACAAAATCAACAATGACAATGAAGAAAACAACAACAGCAACAACAACAATAATATTAATAGGAGGATGAGGAGCAGAGACCCCAGTTAATATTATAGCATACATGTATAAACAAATAAAAATGTGTAAATGTATGTTCAAACATTTTTAAATTTGGGGTTTGAATGGCAAGCTACACTAGATTATTCTCAGAATATGTGGGTACAGATTTAAATATGTGGGTACAGATTTAAATATGTAGAAAAGTAAAAATGAAATTCTGGTTCTATGGATCACAGAGGAACATGGTCATTCACAGAGTTGTAAAGTGACCAATTTTTTGAATATATAAAGGTGTCTATCATTATGTAAGTACAAGATTGAATAGAGATGTGTTTGTGTTTTAAGTGTCAAATTATTTATTTATTTTGTCTTTTATAAAAATGGTTTGATGTTCAAAACCTAATTGATTAAAATATTTACTCATATAAAGTCAACTTTACAATTACTTATATTTTCTACTTCTTTTTGTAAATTGATGATTGTAAGTTCTAAATTTTAATTTAAGATTTCTTCAGGTACAAGACAGCAGGGCAATATGCTCTTTTAGTATTATTCATCATTATTATAGAATTCCTAGATTTTAAAAGAAGTTGATCACTGAGAGTAATTTGATAGAGATCAAACAAACATCAATGACAAGAGCTTTAGTTTATGAAAAATTTTATTTTTGAAATTTAAGCAAAATTTTCAGTAATTTATTTGATTCACTTTTCTTTTCCTTGTAATTTAATACAAGGGAAAGAAAAGTGAATCGTGTGACAATAAATATTTTGTTCCACTGTAGTAGATTGTGTATACATATTTTGATAAACTTCTTAAGAGTGAATGCTGCAGTCAGTGTGCTGTTATCTCTTTTTATTATGCCTTGTAATTTAAGTGGATTATATGTGTTGGTTATCACATGCTATGAAATGTCTTTTAATATTACATTAAAGTATCATGAGAGAGAGAGAGAGAGAGAGACGCTTTAAGTTCTTTTAAATTTAGTATACTAAAAAGCAAATATTGGTAGTTATTTCTTTTTTTGTTTTTACTAATTTATTGTTTTATTAATAGTTTATGGAGAAAGAACTGTAGCGGGCGGTCAAGTGGCCCCGTATCACGGAAAGGGGTGAACGAGGTCACAAGAGGCCCGCTAACATTTTTGAAGACGTTAAATCTGACCGTGAAACAATATGGACGACAGAACGAGGATATATATGATATATAGAGGTTTATTCTGAAAGGAAAAGGAAATGAAGATGGTCGGAAACGGTGGAGGTGCTGGATGCTGCAGGAGTGAGCCGGATGCTGCAGGAGTGAGCTGGAAACTGCAGAAGTTGCAGGAAGCTGCAGGAGCGAGCCGGATGCTGCAGGAGTGCTGGATACTGCAGGAGTTTTAGTGCAGGCATTGATGGTCGAGGTTGGCAGTTGCTTCAGGATCATCGTTGTTGGGGTTGAAGTGGGTTGTTGCCAGGATGATGGGTTGTTGCCAGGATGATGATCTTTGTTGGTTGTTGAAGCTGAGTCGTTGCCGTGGTGCCAACTTGTTGCTGTAGTTCGTGTTGCCAACGTTGTTTGTCATTGCCTGGATGCCAACTTGACGTGTTGGGAAGGAAGAGAGAGAAAGAAAGATCCCAACTATCGTCAAGTTGGCAGACAAAAAGAAATGGGAGCGTAACTTAATACACAGCCCGTAGATCGGCGCCCTTGGCCAATGATGGCCAAGGGGCCTGCGTAGACGACCGTTGCCGCCGACAGCCTCCAAAGCTTGGGAGAAATCACTGTCTTGTGTCGAGGGAGACCAGCAAGAGAAATTGGCTAAGCTAACCGAAAAGTCTCTATAAAAAAAATACTACAAGGTTAGCCAAAGATAACTATGGTCTAAAAATGACTAGATGTATATTACACCTAGGTTTGTAATATAGCCTAACTAAAAAAGGGGATTTGCTAGTCCCTCTGACGTGTTAACAGTGTGTGAGGAGTATGAATGAGAGGTCAAGGTCGAAAAGACCTGTTCCTCTGCTGGTTCAAGGACAGAAGGAGGAGGTAACTCCGACAGAACCATCACTATGTTTGTATTTTCAGAGAGACAGGGCAATTAGTAGCTTTTAGTTTTTTAACCAGTATAAAAACAAAAAACAACGTGCGTACGTATCCAAATAAACGAATGTCTTTAACAAGGAACCATGCAAATAATTATTTTAGTAAGACAAACTTAATTTAAAAAAAGTAGCCATAGGGGCTGTGTAAGGATTTCGTGCCCCCACCCAATCTATGATACGCCCCCTCACTTTATTTCAATATTCATAAGGTGATATCCATATAAAATACAAATTTTTATTGTAACCTAATTATGTACAAATAATGGATATGCAATATAGGTGAACAATTCAACTAGAAAAATTGAAAATAATTACAATGTATTACAAATTATTAGAGAGACATGCCATCTTAAATAAATTGACAATATTTTGCGGCAATTTCTAACATCAACTTGAGAATTTTCTTGTTAAAAAGTTGAAGAATTTTTTTAACACATTCAATAAATAAAAAAAATAGAGAATTTTATATCGTGTTTTTTCAATGACCATGAGACAAAAACAAATTCACGGATTTTGATAAAAAAGACACCAGGATGACGTCAAAATCCGTGAAAATGGTTCTTCCTTTAGTTTAATTGTGAGCTTAGCCTAGTTTAATTAGTAACGTATGTAAATCAGGTAGAAAAAACAAAACAAAACAAAAAACAAATATTGATAACTAACATAGCGAGGGTCACGAAGCATTGCCCGGTGTGCCAAATAAGTCTCCCCTCCGGTAGGGGGCTAGTACGCGCCAGACCTGAGTCGCCATTTGAATGTTAAGAAGAATAAGATGATATATTCATGCCGTAGAAGAAGCTAAAATTGAATGGACGTAAGCTTGAAGTGCTTTTTGTTCTCACAGCTGACGGTAGATGTTAATGACATTCCAGTTTTGTGGGTTATTTACTGCGCCAGATTATGTGTGGAAGCTTCCTGTGATGTTGAGGTAGATGTATTTGATGTTGCTTAAATAATCCTTGTTCTTTTTAAGGATACGAGCCATTTTCTTCAAAGTTGTTATATAACTGGATTCTTTTTATTTTCTAGTTTCTAGTTAGTGCCACCACATTCTGAATGATTTTTTTTTCCCAATTCTAGATCATTAGACCATTTTTTTCGGTGCAAAGGTTCCATTGAAGTTTCTACGGTCAAACAAAGGTTGTACAAGTCAAACCCAGAAAAAAAAAAAGCAATGATTAAATATTTTCGCAACTTTTAATTACTGTTGAATATTTTTATTCTAATATAGATTTGTAAAACATAATGTTCTCTCTACCTGACAGGGACAGAAGAAATATCCACTGCACTGAACAACAGACAAGGGAAGAAAAGAAATTATCAGCAGAAGAGACAGACGTGCTCATCTTTTTTATTCCTTTTATTTTGCGCTTCTTATATTTTTCATTCATAAATAAAATCATTTATTTACTAAATACAAAATTTAAACAAATATCACTTTCTTTATCACTGCGTATTCTTAAGCTAAATTACTCAATGGTCAATGATGGCTGGTTTTTACCTTGCAAAATAATATTGATTAACATTTTAATTTAAATTAAAATGTTAATCAATATTATTTTGCAAAGTAAAACCAACCATAATAATTCAGCTTAAGAATAAATAACTCTTCTTATTTAAAATTTTTAAATAAGAGTTATTTAATTTATTTTAATCAACTTTTAATGATTTTTTTGTGTAACACTTAAAATTTGAAATAATTATTCAAAGGTAAAAAAAAATATTCTGATCTCAAATGTATTATCAAATTGGGTTTCGTAATATTTACATTGAGCAAATCTGGCACAAGGCCTCAATTATGAAGCAATTAATTTAACAAGAAATTGGCTTGAGAAGTGACCATCACCTATTTCTTTTTTTTTTTACGTTATGCATCACATTTTGCTGGAGTGGAGCCTTTAACTAAGAATCCAATGACTTTGATTGAACTAATTGCGTATTTTCTGTGTTCGAGCCGAAATAAAAATAACGGATTTCGAATGTTGATTTTTAAAAAGGCAGGCGGAAACTACACAAAAAAACACTGGTGTAAAACCGCTAATAAAGATCCTTCTATTTTATTGAATTATTCTACAAAAATGTAATCGAAAATCAAAACCGTTCATGTTTAAACTTTTTCCGGTAGTTACTGAATAATCATGAATGAAGGGAACACAGTGAGTAATATTTTAATCTGAAATTAATAATTGGAGAGACGGATATATAGCTTGAGGTCACTGGTAAATATGAAATCATAAGAATAAAAAGACGATACAGTGGTGTCCTTTTTTTCTAAGCAGTCTTTAATAATAAAATAATATCATTCTTATTAAACTGACATTTAGAAATTAATTACCATTTAATTTTAATCGCAATTTACTAAATGAGCATAAAGTTTTGCTTTTGTTTAACCATGATATTGTTTGGTAACTATTGAAAAGTAAAACAATGAAAATCGAAAATAATTGTGTTAAAATTACATTTCATTATTTTACTTATTTGTTTTTTTAGTGTTAAAAATATAATTTCCTTATAAATTCCACATTATCATTGAATAGTTATAAATTTACGGATTTTATATATGCGATAACTAACAGCTGTTTTTAGATAACGATACCACCCGAGTCTCGTAACTCTTTTTAGTCTTTAGGGTCGTAGGAGCACATGCAGGGCCAGTGAAAGGGTCTCTTGCTACCCCTCCCCGAATCTATGATACGGGCCAGCCCTCCCCAATTTTGATATGGGACTCAATTTTCATAAGGTAGTACAAACTTTATTGTAACCTATGAACCATATGCAATATAGGTGAACAATTCAACTAGAAAAATTGAAAATACAATTCAAAATACAAATAGACCTAGATCATTATCCATCTTATTCTTAAGTTAACAATGTTTTGCAGCAGTTTTTAACATCAACTTGAGAATTTTCTTGTTAAAAAGTTGAATAATTTTTACACGTTCAACATTATGGATAAAAAATTTTTTACTGTTTTTTTTTTTTTTTTTTTTTTTGAGTCTTAGCATAGAAAACGAAATTCACGGATTTGGACGAAAAAAAGAAGGCACCCAGGATGACGTTTGTTTCATCATTTGATAGTTGTGCTTAGGTATATAATTTGTAAGGTAGAAAAAAAACCCCAAAAAAACAAACAAAAAAAAAAAAAAACGAATATAAATGTAGGTAGAAAAAGCAAATGTTGGTAAGATAGCGAGAGTCACAAAGCACTACCGAATCCTCCAATCAGGCTTGGGCCTATCCCCGGTTCCTGGTGGGAGGCGGGGTCAGGTGTAGTACGCACCTACCCTGAGAACATACTGCAGCGTGTGTATAGCAGTAGTGTGTCAGTGTATAGGACAAGATAGTCTGACGAAGCCCATCCCTTTTAGGTTGATTTTGAATTCAGTTTTTTTCTCTTAGACTGATTGCCATCTCAAGGAAATTGAGCCTAGTTTATCCTGCTATTTAACAACCCATAACTAGATTAAAATGCATTCATATCTTTTCGAAAGTGCGAAATGAATATAACTATAATCGACCGAAATTTGAATTCTGCACAAAAATAATTTGACAGGTGTAAAAAAGTAAAATAAATTCTTTAAAAAATATTCCTGATGAAAAATGGCATTAAAATTTACATTTTTTTTATTCTTCAAACACATCTTTATCTAATAAAAATATCTTTTTTTTGTCATCAGCAACCTGAAGAATTTTAAAATCATATTGAAAAATTACAAGTAAATATTTCAAAAATAAACATTTATATTGTAGTTTTTCTTCTCCGTCAGATCTGAAAGAAAATATAAATGTTATTAAATTATGTAACCACCAAACCTCAGCAAAAATTATTTTTTGAGTTTTATTGAATTCTTTTTGTAAGGTTTTAGGACAAATTTTTCAAGATGTTCTGATTTGATATTGCACAAATGTTTTTACTAAAATAATATCTTCAGGGATTTTTCTTTATAAAATTATGAAAATACTTGTCATCACACACCAATTTTAAAACAAAAGTATTCAAAATGTCAGGAAATGGGTCAATAACTGACCCACACCACGCAATAATATTTCTGCAAAATTATCTAATAAAATAACCTATTCAGTATACAATATATTTATTAATGAATAAGTAATGAAAGTTTAATTTAAATCGGATAATTTCCTGATTTTTGGTAAAAAAAAAAAAAAAAAAAATCAGTCAGTATTGGTTTTTGCTTGCTTTCATTTCGGAAAAACACATTCATTTCGGCGGTTCCTAGAAACAGCTTAGGAGTAAAAACTATTTTGTAAAATATAGAAATAACTCAGATCAACAAACATACTTCATATAAATATAAAATGCAACTATGTTACAAAATTTTCATTGACATCTTAATTGATTTATCCCAGATAAAGCCCTTATAGTTTGTACACACTTATGTAAAGTTACACTTTACACAGCAAATTGATATGTTGTATTTTTACAACTAAAATAATTTAAGTATTTGGCATTTAATTCCAATTTAGCAATCATTAAATTAAAATGTAAGAGATATGTCTACTTTTATTAAAAATTGTCATAATCCTAAATTAACGGAAAAGCTGTTGATCTTATTCTTAAATCTTAATTTATGATTTTGGTAATATTTATGTTTCTGAAATGACACCTCTAATTTTTTGAACATATTTTTTAATTTTTATGCATGAAAAATAAATTATGTTTTCACTTACTCAACTAGTCAACATGGTCATTTTTCCCATACAACTGTAAAGAAAACAAGAGCAACCAGTAATTCATTGAACTAAAATTTCCTCATTCTTGATTTTTAGTTTTAAAGCCGGAAAACGCTTTTATAAATGAATCTTTTAATTTTAACATAATTGTCCTTTAATAAGTTTAAATTATTCTATCGCAATGTCACAAGTATGGATCGGAATCTCTACAGTATTCTACCAACTTATGTTCTATAATATAATCTTGGAAAAATAACAACTGTCAAGAAAGTGTCTTCTTTTTCTAAATAAATGAATATTGAGATAGACTGTTTGAACAAGGTTTATGGTAGTCACACACACACACACACACACACACACACACACACACACACACACACACACACACATTTAGTGCGCGCACCTTGAGGGCTAAAGTAGAATGAACTGGATATGTGGCTGAACTAAATGGCCTACAGAAGGCAGTCTGAGCAGAGTCGGACTTAAAGAAAACCGATCCAAACATATAGCTCGGGAATCTAGGTCAAATCTTTCCTGCAGGCACGCATCAACGGCTTTAAATTGGTTTCTCTGACGCTGTCACTTTGCAAGTAACTAATTGACTTTTGCGGGAGTATTTCTTTGTCCAAACTGATGACCTAGAAGTTTAGATTAGTTTGTTTAAAATCTTTTCCTCAAAACTTCTTAATAAAAAGAATAAGTCAGTTAATTTGCTTGGAGAGAACATTTCAAAATTTTTGAAATTAAATCTTCAGTTATTCTTGCAAATATCAGATAATTTCTTTGTTTATCAGTTATGTGCCATGCGTGATACATTACTCAGGGCGATCATGTACCTTTCGATACATGACTGACGAGGCAGATTTTTTCCCGCAATAGGTTGCCATTTCTTTCTGCAGTAGACCAGTTGCCATCCAAAGCTACAGAACCCGGTCTGTCCTGCTATTTACCTGGAATTTGGCTGGAATTCGAACTCGGCTCTCCGATTCCTCAATCCGAGAGAATGATTTTTAAGATGAATACACGCCTACTCATAATTAACAAGTTGAACAAAGTAAATGACAATTTTGAACCAAAATATTTAAAGCGTCAACTCGACTCGAACGCAACTTTAATAAAGTAAGCTCTATTAGAATCTACACAAATGATGTCAACGATCTGGCATTAAGTTTATTTCATGACGATGAAAACTGGGATCATGGGAGTCGACAAATTGCTAGGTGGCATTTTCAATCTGATCGTCATTGGTGAACACCTGTTGACACGGAGAAAGTGGTGATAGGAGACATGTCCCCTGAATAGGGAAGATAGTACAAGAATGTGACGCCTAACTGCATCAGTTTCTGTCAGGTGATATTCTGAAGCAGGAGGAAACCCTTTCTCTTTTCTTTATCACTGCTGGTCAAAATGTTTGTAACTTTTGATGCAACAGTTTCAAATTACAACAATATGACTCTGCAAGAAGTTGTATTGTATTACTCCGTTAGAGCACCAACAAACGGCCCCGTGTATATTTTGGGGTTGAAGATTTATTTTCGGGGAGATTAAAATTAACCCAACGAAAGCTACGTTTCCAATTATTAATATAGAGTAACCACTTTTCATCAATGCTAAGCAACTCAATCAAAAAAGAAAATTTTAAACGAACAAGCTG